GAGACAGAGAGAGAGAGAGAGAGAGAGAGAGAGAGAGAGAGAGAGAGAGAGAGAAGAGGAGAGTGGGAGCTTAAATAAAAGACAGTAAATAAATAATATATTTCTTATGTGATATTTCCTATAGTACATATACTAAAACGCGCATTTAATGCCAAATCGCATGTGAAATAAAAATGATTTACTTTATATATAAATTTTTTCTCGATGGTCACTTTTAGCTGGTGTTGGGCCAACTAAACTAAAGTTGCATGTCTGCGAAAATGTTATCTGCCAGCTTAAACATACAAAATATTACGAGGAGAAAAATAAAGCACAAAAATTTATGGGCAGGAGCAGGGCACAGGAGACTGGAACGGAGAGCAGGGCGAGGCAGCAGCGGGGGCAGCAGGAAACTAAAGTTTGTGCACACGATGTCATTGAGAGGTGTCAAGTGCCAGGCAAACAGCTTGAGACCAGCAAGAGCAGGACAACACAGAGCGAGAGAGAAGGAGTGAGAAAGAGAGAGGGAGAGTACGGCATCAAAAAAACATTCTTACAAAACATAATTTATGTTGCGCAAATTTTGTTGAAGTGAGAAGGTAGACGGAGAGGGCGAGCGAGGAGTGAAGGGGAGGGGAGTGGTGTGAAGCGGAGCGGAGGGGAGGGGCCGTGTGCATTGTTGGCCAGCCAAAGTGCAATGCTCCCTGCGATCCACTCCAGACAGAGCCGAGCCAAGCCAAGCCGAGAGCGAGCGAGCGAGCGGACGAGATTTATGAAGCCTTTTTTTCGCCTCTGGTTCTGGGTTCAATGCACCCGCAGTGCACAACGCAGAGATGTCGTTACTTTCACCCGCAGCTAGAAGAGCGACGTGAAAGCCAACGCCTCCACATGGCGTGCAGGTCCACATCGACAGCCGCAGCCACATCCACATCCACATCCATATCCATGTCGATGTCGCCCACCTGGCTAACATTGGCATTGGCCTAAGTAAAAGTCAATTGGCTGACAAGCAAAACGTTGCCCGAGTTTAATTAATTTGCAACAAAATGTGGCGCGATTCGCTCCAGTGCTGCACTGCTGCAGGCCGGCGCATGCATAATCTAAGCTGTGGGTGGAGGCGCCACAGCCGCCAGACGCAGAGCAAACATTAATTTTGCTTATTAAACAATGAGCGACAACGGAGCGCGGCAGGGCGGGGCAGGTGCGTGTGGCACTTGCAACGACTTTGTGCCACATGCGCTGCGTAATGCAATTTCGACAGCTGAAATCCCAACAGTTGGCAGCAGCTGCAACATAAATGCAAAGCACGTAAACAGGTAGCAAATGGGGGCGGGGCCATGGAGGAGGCGGCACTGCCATGCTTAATGCCCAGTTGGTAAAACTTTTGTCAGCCGAACTTTATGCCCGACTATAAGCGACGACAGTTGCAGATTTTATAAAATTATTCAACACTTAGTTGAGCACATTGACAGCTGTCTGTGTGGTGGGAGGGAGAGGGAGCGAGTGAAGAGCGAGAGAGGCTTACTTCCCAGAGCGCTCCAAGTCTAAAAATAGTCAAGTGCATCGCAGCACAACTAATTTTTGGGTATGTGGAGTCCTTGAGGGCAACAGCTGGTAGCTTAGCCCGGATTACGTGCACTCCGACAGCAACTTTTCTCCAACTAAATTATTCAGCTATACATAATAAACATAATAACAAATAGTTGTTGGAATGTGTGAACTTCGTTGCTGTATAAAGTTTTGCGCATGTATAAATGTGTAGCTGAGGTCTAGTTCACATTTGATATTGAGTTATATCGTAGCTTGTGAGTTTATTTTATATAAATATTAATTTTATATAATTTATAAATTTGTAATTTATAAATTTGTAATTTGTTGACTACTTTTAATCAACTTGTGAACGAAGCTTAACATGCGACATTTTTGAAGCTTACTTTCTTAAGCTACTTCAGTAAGTTTTCGCTGCTCTCATTAGCTGACTTCGCTTTCGACTCCTCAGTTTCTACTCCTGCAATGCTGTAATCATTTGAGGATTCAAGCTGAGTGAAGTCAGTGACCTCCTTTTCTCATTGCCCAATCGCATGCAACTGCCAAGTGCAAGAGCTTCGTATCAACTTAGTTACATATCGATAATTGAATAGCCATAATACATACAAATACATGACCTCAATTTTGGAATATTTACAAAATGAAGACAGGGAAGGGGTCGTTATATTTAAATCAAATTCTATAATAAATAACTTAATCATAAATCAAACGCACGTAATTTATGATATATATTAATGAATTTCAATATTAGATTTGCTACTTCATTATGTCCATATAAAATGAATTTTATATTAAAGCCTGCAGCAATATATAATGAAGAAATTTTGTATATAAATCATGGTGAAAGCATATACAATTTTTTTAAAAATCGAGTCTCGATAATTTGTACCCTGTTAAACCAAAAATCGCGAAAAAAAATCTATACCCTTGAAAAAAATTTGTTTTCGATAATTCTTGATAATTTCTGTGTAAAAAAAAAAAAAAAATCGCTTCGTTATTTGGAACTATTGGAACTCGACTATAATTATAGATAATAATAATTAGTAAAATTTATAATAATAAAAATATTGTTAATACTAAGAACAACTTATTTAAAGTTGATTGCTATAAATTTGTATTAAATAATAAATAAAGTTGTTAATTGATTTTTTTTTTTATATAATATTATTCACTAAATTAATTCAATCGAATTGAAATTTTCAGCATTTCAACTATGCACATTTCATATTAATTTCAGTGCTATTCCACATCGCTTAAGCCCAGTAGCTCTCACTTTTTAATTTGCAGCCCTCTTTGTGGCTAGCCACAATGTTGGCCAACAATGGGCAGCTGCCATTAATTGAGGTGTAGGCGTAAATAGTTGCATAAATTGCATCTGGTGCTCATGAATGAATTTTCATTAAATTCGTTTTCCATTCGTCGCTTAGTTTAGAATGCGCGCCCTTTTTATTATCATTATCATTAACATTGTTCAGCAGGTAATTTCCTATCGTTGCGCACGGCTACAATAGCAGCAGCTGCAACAACAATGCGCTCGATTTGGATGTGCGAGGGTGGTATAAAGAATTGTTGGGTTTATTAGAGATATATAACTTTAAAAATTTGTTATTATTATTATTTTTTTAATCTTAATTTCTTTAGTTTCTTAATTTATTCAACTATCAACTTTTTTTTTTATTTATTTTAAAGCTGACATTCTGCCTAAACCACCCTCGCATGTGGCCATTCATATGTATGTATGTGCCCAAAAGTTTTCACAATTTGTCAAGAGTCGCTTCTATTTTCCTCATAGTTACATATAGCTCTCTCTCTCTCTCTGTCTAACTCTACCTCAGTCTTACTCCCTCTCACTGTCGCTGTTGTTGTTGTAATTGCTCTGATTGTTGTCGCAGTCGCGTTTGTTGTCGTTGCGCTTTGTGGGGCGGGGTCGTAGGTCATGCCTCAGGGCGCCATATTGCAACATAATTATATCGTTTCACCTTTTTGCTTCAATTTTTTGTTTGCTGTATTGTGTTTTTTGTGTGTGGCTGTGTGTGTGTGTGTGTGACTCGAAATGAGTTTTTAATGACGCAATGATAATTCAATTTGTTGCTGATTTATGCCACATAAACTTTTATTTTGCCCCTCTCCGTAACAAGCATTCAATATGTTGAAATCGAGAATAAAATTATGCATTGTTTGCTGGATTTCTGACTTGCTTTTTATCGAAGGTGTTTTTATGAGAGTGCTGCGTTCTCTCTCTGATATGCTTATTATTTTTAATTAACAATTTAATAATTATGACAGAGTGAAGCGAACGGATATGCCCTGCGTAGGCAGTTAATGCAATGTGAAGTGTGTGTACTTCAATTCAATTTTGACAGCTCATAAATTTAGTTTTTCTCATTTAAGTGGACGAGTATTTTCTGAGGTGAGGCAACGCCTACATGAACTACACATATAAGTGTGGCTTACTATTTAAATAAAGCTGCAACTATGTATTAAAGTTTGTTTATTTTAGCTAACACTAAATGCTGTTTTTATTTAAGTTGCTTAATGTTGCTGCTTTGACAGCATTTCAAAATATTCTTTTAAAATCTGTAATTAAATCTACATAAATTTGATGTCAATATATTATACTTTATCATTGTATTACCATGAGAATTATGTTATACGAGGAGCACTATCATTTAATTGATTCATCATTTTAAATTTATTTGAAGCAAATATGTGGAAATCCAAGAGAGAATCAGAAGTATTAGAGATTAGTATATTTAAACCCTGTGATTGTATACTTATCCCCAAACATACAAAATGAAAAGCTTTCGGATTTAGTAGTATTTACATTAGGATTAAAAAGGCAAATGAATTCATCGATTTTTATCGCTAATAAATGGCAAATAAAATGGAGAGATTTAATAATTTCTAATGGGAGCCATAAATTTTTAAATAAATCAAATTGTTTTTATAAAATATTGGAACTGATTTATTGATTACCCTGCATTTGGATTTAATTTTTTTAGTTAATTGACTCGTCATTTATATCTAACGTTAGTTGTGTCAGCTATATTTACTATGAAGTTAACATATCTGCTTAACTAGTAAAGCAAAGATTCGGCCTAGAATTAGGCCTACGCTGATAGACTTACTTCTTGATCTATCAATCTAATCTATAGTTACTCCAGTCAGTTGGCAATGTTTAGCAGTTGTAAATTTACCTTCAACTTTCGATAAATGAGAAAACAAACAAGTGGAAAACTAACCCGTTAGCCTCTTTACTCGCGCTATTCATTTACAGAAATGTGTCTGCCAGGCAGTTGGCAAATTTAGCTATTTAAGCCGTTGCAGGCTGATTTGAAATTCAAATTCGATTCGTAATACTTACAAAGAAATACTTTTCGACTTTGTGGGTGCGCTTTGGGGCACAGATTTCGGTGCGACTGTGGCAGCAGCCGCTGTCCTCGGAGCAACGGTGTACGAACGTGCAGTGGGGGAAGTAGATCTTCGATGGGTCGCGTCCGGCGCTCATGCAACGCTTCTGTGGCAAGTGGCAAGAGTGCTCCCTCAATACCTCTTCGATGTGTGCATTCGCCTTGGCTGCAAAGACTGCAAAGTTAATTTAGTCAAAGAATCGAGTGGGTGCTCGCTTCAGCCAACTGGCTGCCTACCTTTGGCCTCCTCCCTCTCGCGTCGAGCATTGAGCACAGCTTCCGGCGTTCCCAGCAACTTCTCCTTGTGCGCAGTTTGGCTGCCGATGCGATTATGTGCGAAATTGTTATTGTTGTCCGCATTCTGTGAACGAAGAAGCGAAAATGAAAATTTAATCAATACGCCCGAAAACTAGCACAAAAGCTAATTAATTGAATTGAAGCAGAGCTGAGCTGAAAATGCCCGCATTACGTATACGCCATGTGTGCGGGCACCCATAAAAATCATCACTAAATAAAATTGCCATTTGTGCCGTGTGATGGCAATTTGTCACAATATTTATCGTCGTCCACAGCAGTCAAGCCAGCAAGCAGGCAGCCAGGCAGGCAGGCAGGCAGCTGCTGCAGAGATTCAGGTAACGTGCCACACAAGCATCAACTGCCACAGAGTGTAGCCGGTGGGGACTGGCGAGGCGGTGGGGCGGAGGGGCTGCTCAATTGCTGCAGAACTTCATAAACTAAGAATTCATGTGTTTTCACAGTCGGCACAACAGTTACAACAATTGCCAACAACAATGGTCATAAGTAAGGGACACCACAGAGCATATAAGCAACGAATATCAAATACACTTCCCATGCAATAAGAACAAAGCCGATGAATTGCATTTGAGCATGGCAAGTGGAAAGCATTTCATAAAATTTAATTAGTGCGAAATATATATATTTTATTAAAATTGTAAAAATTAATAATATCAAGTTAATTTAATAAAACACTAAGAAATATACAAAATCAATATTAATGCCCAAAATTTTGTATTCAAAATCTAAAATATTATTTTAGTATTATAAGGTCAATAAATTATTTATAGAGTTATAACTAAAAAAAAATTAGTTTGTATAAAAAATTTGTTAGAAAATTTTTATAAATAAAATAAAATAAATATAAAAAATCATAAATAACTAGATTAATAATAATTTGATAATTTCTGACTTTTTTTAACTTTTAATAAAAATAAATATACAACAAATACAAAAATCGATAAAAAAAACTAAGTAAAAAAAATTTAAAAAAAAAAAATGTTACTTATTAATAATTCTATAAATTCATAAAAAATTGTTATCTATAATTATGAATCTATAAATAATATTTATAAATGTGTATAAATTATGGCGAAATCGTTTTTATTATCAAGTATCGCATATCTCGTCACACAGTCTATAGACCCTCCTCCAGGCAGCCCACTGTCATTTATAACAATGCCCACATACAAAACAAATTGGCAGTCCGGGCAATAAATACGAGCCACACAGCCGCACAAAACAATGGCTCTCTATGCTGGATGCTGCAGTGGGCTCTAAGTAGAACAACAATAACAACGGCAACGGCAACAATAACAATGAGTGAAGCAAAAGAAAAAAATAAGAAGAAGAAAAGAGAGAGAGAGAAAAAAATGTTGACCAATGCGCACAATTGGCAATTTGTGAAGTTAAGCGAAATTAATGAGCAGGCAGGCAGAGGGCCAGCAGCTAAGCCGCAGTCTCGGTCGCAGCGAGCAGTGTTGGTAAACGAACAAAGCAGCAACGTGGGCGAGTGAATGTCTAAATAAGAGCTAAGCAACAAAACCGCAGCTGAGACTTCAACTTCAACTTCAACTTCAACTTGGACTTGGACTTCATTCATTGTGGGCCAAATTCTTAAGATTATTCGACTGTTCATTAGTCAAGCAGGAGTGGACGGGCAGCGAGGGATGGGGGAGGCACCCAGTGGTAGGTAGGAGCCATCAAGGTGCCGTTGGCATAAATCTTGGCGTCTTGGCATTTTATATATGTTCATTTTATTCCATTTCATTTGGCTTAGACCGAAACAATGGCCGCTTTTTGATGTAGCTCAATGATTTTTAGCGGTTTAACCTTGAGGCTTATGAATGGTCCATTGTTTGTGAGAGGGACACACACACAGGCATACACAATGTGGCGTTAATGCGCAAATATATGGAATTACTTTGGCATGGAGTGTTCTTTGGTTTATGGTCAGCCGCATTGAGCATTTGCCTGGCCTTATGTCCAATTTAATTTCATTGAAACAAATGCCACGCCTCCCCTCCCCACCCATCACTTCCACTCTCTCTCTCCCTCGCTTCACTCTCCTCCTCTGTTCTGTTGAACATCTCTTAAGCTGACACAAATCGCTTTGTGGCCATCGATGCGATTGCCACTGCATAAAAAATTGTCCATAAAATGAAGGTAACATGCGGAATAAACCGAAAACTGTGTAACTTATTGGCAAGAAATCGAGGAAAACGTTTGATGCATATATGCTGAATAAAAAGGCTTAAGCTGATAAATAGTATTTATTGCAATAGTAAGAAGGAAATAATATTGAGTTATTCATATGTGAAAGCAAACATAATGCGATTTGATAACATGTCAAAAATCTGAGATAAAGGATGATATATGTATATAAGGACAGAAGAGAGCAGTTGAAAAAATAAAGTAAATAAAATTGGAAGTGAAATGAAAGAGAGAGGAATGAAAAGAGCAGAGAGGAGAAAGCTGAGAGCAGATCAAAGATAGATAGAAGATAAGCATGGAATAAAAGACAAAACTTAGAAATGAGATGGGAGAGAAAATGCGACGAAAGGAATAAGGGAGATAAATGAAGAGAGAAGAATGTGGCAATGTGGCAGGAGAAATAAGAAAGGAGACTTAGAGATAGAGAATGATAGAGGTAGATAAGAGAAGGACAGAGGGAATACTAAGCAAAAGCTGACAAACAGACCAGAAGGGAGCATAATAGGGAGAGTGGAGAAAGAGAAGTATAAATAAAACATGATTAAGAAGATAAAGACAAAGAGATTGTGAGATAAGAGAGTGAGATAAATCCTTTCATTACTCCTAAGCGCGTCTGTATTATTCTATTCAATTTGATTCACAGTCCGTCCATATATTATATATAATCAGAGACTATGTTGAATATATTTCCTTTAATTAACGCAATGCATATATGTTGGCCAAAATATCTCACAGTGACTGGACTGACTGGGCAGGGCTGTAATCTGTGTAGCATTGATTAGCAGACATTCAATGGCCATCTCTCTCTCTCTCTCTCTCTCTCTTTTACTCTCTCTCTTCGTGACTTTCCCTCTCGTTCTATGGCACAAAGGCTGATTAAATTGAGCGGCTCGTTAGTCGCACGGGGCCAGCAGCTGATAATGAAGGTGCGCCTAACTACATTTAAGAGAGAGAGTGAGAGAGAGGGAGAGTGAGACAGAAGTTTAGCTGTAATGCAGGCTGAGCTTTGACAAAGGGTTTGCCAGGGGCAGGCGCTAATGCGGCTGCTGTTGCTTTTGTCAGCAATTTAGATTAGAAAGCGAGAGAGAGAGAGAGAGAGAGAGAGAGAGAGAGAGAGAGAGAGAGAGAGAGAGAGCGAGTGAGTGCAGAAGGTGTGGGAGTGCCAAGATAAACACACAGCTGTATTTTGAAACTCTTTGGCAGAGATATGTACCTGCCCGGCTGGCCCCAACAGCCTCGATTTGAATTACGACGCAATGCAAATGCATCCCCTGTGTGTGGTAACTGGATCGGATGGCGGACAGCAGGACAATGGCCAAAAGACGCAGCAACAGCTACAGCTACAGCCGCAGCAGCAGCAGCAGCGGCCACAAAGCCCGTTTGCAACGTTTGCATTAAAAATTCATTCGTACAGCTGATAAAATTTAAAAGCCAACCATTCTTTAAAGTCAGCCAGACATCTGAGGTCGGCAATCAGGCACTTGGGAAATTTGCGCCGAAGCTGAAACAGCTCATAAATAAAATAAAATACCGACAGCCAACTCTGTGTGTGTGTGTGTGTGTGTGTGTGTGCGAGAGGAAGCCTGTGTGAACGTGTCGTATGCGCAATAATTAAGTTTCAAATGCCGCAGGCTAAAAATGTGACGTGCATGTGTAGGTGGTACAAAGGGTCCCGCTGGGCAATGGCAATAATAATATTAACAACTGCAACAACAAGAAAATCAACAATAATTACAACAGCCCTATATACATACATACGTATATATTTGCTATATACATACGCATGCAGCACAAGGCTCGACAAACAACTACGCTAGGTTTTCAGGCAAGAGCTGTAAATATATTTAAGTTTGCAAGTCATTCAAAAGTAAGCTTCATTGCCAAATTGAACTAGTTCTTCAAGAAATCAGTTATTTAATCTTTGAATCCGTTTAAAATCATATTTTTCAGAAAAGTCGATAGTTGTTATTTTTGCCATTCAATTAAATTTTTAATAATTTAATTCTATATTTTACATCCTGGAATATATCTCAATATGGCTCTTAATAAACTCTTGAAATTAATTTTTGGTCAGATAAATTTTATTGCAGACTTTCCTAGAATTATGTTCAGATCTAAGGCAGTGAATATTATGAAAATGAATTTATTTTACACAACATATTTTTATGTCAGTTTCATTTTACGTTACGTGCTACAGCTTAATTTAGGTAAAAACAGCAGCCCTGCTGAGAAGCAGCATATAGATAGGGATTACCTGCATGTAGTCTAAGCAGTCTAAGCTTCAGCATTCAAGTTTTTTCGTATATAAAATACGAGAATATAAATTGCTATTTTTGCAATGCATACAAACTAAGCTGCTTTGAAAATAAAGCCAAGATAATGATAATGCGTAAGAAAACTATGCCAAACAGAGCATCCTCAACAGCATGTCCCTAAACAAGTGCAGCCAACTTAACAATGGCGCTCAGCTAGCCGGCGCAGCCAACTTCACTGCTGTACCTATTGAAAATTTTGGATAAATTTAATGTAAATAAACTTTTAATTAAATGCTTGTGAACAGGTATTAGAATTCCCTTGCCAAAAAATGTAAAAATCATTCAATATTATATCGTGAATGCAGAGAATTTATAAACAAAGAGTACTGTAATTTGAAATGTCAATCAAATTGTGCCTTGGGAGTTATGTATGCAATATTTTGCTGTCAATATGGCAGAGCATAAACAATGTATGCTTTATGAATGCGGGCAAATCAAATGCCACAAAAGCGTTTTCCAAAAGGGCAGCCGGATATTTTGAAGCCACCCACTGGGAGCACACACAGAGCGCACCACTATGTGAACCACAGTGGCCCTC